CGATAAAATTATTTAAAAAACAATAAACAAAAAAAAAGAAAAGAAAAGTAGAATGAAGTATGAATGGTCCGAAGCATACATATGTATTGCATACATAATGCATTAAGTGTCTCGTTAGCCTTTTTATCTCTGAGGGGTATCTATTCCCCTATTCCCATCCAAGGTATCTGTTTTCTCCCTCCCCCATTTAGTCTGGAAAGACATAAGAGAACCACTCCCTTTGAATGACGACATAACCTCTAACGAGAGTGATAACGTGAATATCTATTAGGGGTCACCTTTGGCTAAGTACTATAGTGACTATAAAATATCTTATAGGACCACTATGATTGGTACAGCCGTAATCATAAATCGCACTGTGATTTGGAAAGCCAGAAATATGCCTGAGCAAATTATCGTATCTGTGTATCTGATCTAATTATTCCACATAGGTAGTTGAAAATCTATATCTACCCTCAAAGATAAAAGTCGTAACGATTTCGCGAAATATGACACGAAAATCTGAGTATTTCATTATTTATTTGATTTTTTCTATTATCAGGTATGTTGTGTGTTTTATCTTGATGGTTATCACTATAACGTGATTTTTTTTTTTAAATCAATAAATTGTTTTTATAAGATAAGATAGAATTACAACGTAACCTAATAGTAAGTGTTTATATTATAATTATTCACTTTTTAAAAGCTTACGATGTTATCTAAATACTGTTTTCCTTACTAAACATATCGAACTCACTCATCCATGCACCCCTCCCCAGATGAAAAAGTTAGTGAGGAATCGTTAGCTAACCTACCCATTGAAGTCTATGAGGATCTCCTAGATCCACAAACCATGAGTGTATGATCATTTCCGCACTCTGATGAGTCCAACAGTATAATGACAGAAGTGACCCTCTTTTGTATTCTAACATTTTATTTTGCAGCCACTTCTGGCTTCAGTTATATATATGTAATTGGAACTCATATATTTGTAAAGAATTTGTATTAATTTGCTCTGCTGCATATAATTTTTATCATGCACTCATAATCTATTTCTATATCTGACACTCTCGTGTCTTAATTAGCATTTGTGATATCACACCTTCCTATTCTTTTCAACATCTTAATAGGAATGTTTTATTTTTCAAGAAGTCCAAGTGTACTTTTGCTCAAGTCTTAGTAGCTTATCTTGGCACACTTCTTAACTGCTGTGAGAAGAAGAGTAAACATATCTGAAATTTTATTGTGAATTAAGAGTATGTTTTTACTTTAGGGATCTTAAGGTTTTTGCCATCCAACAAGCCCTAAGTATTTTTCTGCATTTCTAACACTAAGGAAAGTTAGGAAATCAAAGAAAAATGAAATTCTACCAACTGATTCCATTATAAATCGCCTCATAACATGGTCCATCAGTAGGGACTGTAACAGTTTACAAAACCTTTTTTAACAAGAACTTTGTCTTAAAACCCCCCGGTTACCTTTATCATATGCTTTTTCAAAGTCCATTGAGAACCAAATCTTCATGCTCACATCTCAAAATTTCAATGACTACCTAATAAGTATAAGAGGCACATTGTGGACCTGTCCACCTGCTGCAAAGATATTTGGTTAACTGAAACAATAATCTCACTGATAAAACCTTTGTAATAATCTAAGTGCTAGTCACCTAACCTGCTGGCCCATAACACCAACCTTTATAGAGCAGTCTCTCTTAGAAACAAGGATGATAAGAGGAGAATTCATGCTAGCATCTATCTTCCCATTAGGATAGAACTAATGAAAGACTTTGAGGAGATACCTCTCAACAATGAGCCAACAGCTTTTGAAAAAGCTCGGGGTAAACCACCTAAACTTGGAGCTTATTAGCTAATCTCCAAACTGGTCTCTTGATCATCCTCCTTGAAAGGTCTCCCTATCCATTTAGCTTTTTTATTTATCATAGGAAACTAATCCAAACCCTTTAGGAAAGGCTTCCTACCATCCTCCTCATAGTTGTTCTAAACATAAATATTTCATCTTCGGTATCAAAATGATCCCTCATAATCCTACCCCCTTCCACCTCAATTTCCTTGACCACCCTCTTTCCCCTTCTCCCATTTTCCACTCTATAGAAAAGTTCAATGTGTATTTATAGAAACAATCAGTTTGAGATTCTGAGATGATGAGAACTCAACAACATAAACAGAAAAATACATGAAATTCTAACACACAAAAATTCTGGCAGAATGATTCTGAGTTATTTGAATTTCAAAAATCAAGCTTCGCAAAGATAATAAAACAAAGGTCTAAACACAAAATGAATATGGAGAAGAAAGGAAGACAAACACATACCTAGAAGAGCAAGAATCTGATTTTCATACAAGGTAAGCTGCAAGGAATTAACAGCACAACATTCACCCTTTCTACTAGCATAAACCTTGTGGAGGTTCCTAATCTGGATACATCTACAAGTTAAATATGAAATGTGAGCGACCATTCAATCCACAGGGACCAGCAAGCTGAATTTCAGTTTTATATACCTGCCATCTAGCTCTTGCTGCTTCATGTCCAAGCTTATTGCCTCAACAGCAGGTCCAGACTCATTATTTTGATAAAACATTGCCCTCTTAGAAAGCCTATCATTGATTCTGGCTTCCAAACTGGAAAAAGTGTTCTTGATGGTACTTTTCTTGTCCCAAAAGCACTTCATGAACACAAAGTTCCAAGGATAACGCACCCCGTTATCCCTGGGAAGGACCTGACAAAATGAACATATCCAAATTCATCACACAAGAGTAGGAGACATTTATTCCTCACTTTTCTGCTTGTTTATTTTTCTTTTTTCGTTTTTTGGTAGAGCAAAAAATATTATTAGGGATGGAAAGAGATTAATAAAATCACAGAGAATAAGATATCCTCCTCAAAGTATCAAAAAAAGAGCCTAAAAGATAATAGAAAAGAAATACACAAATGAAAAGGGTCATCCTGTGGGAGACCAAAAAATTGTATCCCAATGACAACGGATCTGACTAAGGGTATAATTGGAGAAATTCCCGTGAACTTCGGCCCATAAGATAGCAAGCCTGTCCCACATCTCTGGCATTGATGTATACTGATCATCAAAAATTCTCCGACTCCATTCGAGCCATAAGGTGTGGGTAGTCAATAATTATAAGAATAAAACAAGGAAATAGTTCCTAATTCTGAGAAATTTGAATAACTTCCAAAAAAAATACTACTTTTTTGTTGTAATAAAACATATGGCTGTAATTTGAACAGATTCATGTATCAAGAATATTATCAATTTGAGTACTTTCTTACTTAAAAGATCGTTGAGTTCTCTCTTAATGAGTCCATAAATAGATTAAAGATAAGTAAATGAAGAAAAACTCATAAACATTCGCAAATACTTACTGAATTCATGGTCATCATCCCATGACTAGATCCATTACTTGGGACCCTAACAACAAACTCCCTGCTATTATAGGAGGAGAATTAAGTGGGGCAATACTCATTAAGTCTATAATGAAACTATTTTTTGGCCTATCAAACAGTATACTATTGGCAGTGAAAAAGTTTTAAAATTTATTAGAATTACACGCATTCCCCAAATTTTTTTATTTGACTTACACTAATCCTATATTTCAGTTTTATATTTTAATTTTCATAAAATGAGTTTTTGGAATTATTAATTTAATTCTGGGTCATAAATTAAATTTATTAATTAATTGATGCAATGTAGTTTATTAAATTAAAAACGGTATTGAACTATTTTATGAAATTATTGTAATTATTGAATTCTTTTATTAAATCATCCACATCTGGAAAAAAGGGAAGAGCAGAGAGTCCTCCTCTCCTCCTCGCCACTTGACTGGCTAATCAAGCACCCCATGACCAGGCCTGGCAACAGCCTGTATGCGAAGACAGATCTAGTCATCAAACGCCAAGCTAGGCATTAGCTTGGCACCAGCCTAGTCAAGGAATATCGATGTTCTTATTTTTTTTTTCTTATTTTTCTTTTCAAATATATTTTAGCTTCTTAATAGAAATAATATTAATTGCAATAGCATATGAATTTTTTTGTTATATAAAGAAAAAGAATTAGGAAGAGAAAGAAAGCACACAAGTGGATAATAAGACATCCTCTTCGAGACTTAAAGAATCAAATAAAATAAAAACTCAAAGTACAAAAACAAGAAGCAAAGGGGTGTAGACTCCAGACTCCAAATCCCACGTCATTACAAAATTATTGCTTCCCAATTTCTATGTAACACCGCATATGAATGTTTAATAATTTAAGAGAAAAATTTTGATAAGGGGAAAAGTAAGCTAATTGACAAAGATCAAGATTAGCTAATTGACAAAGATCAAGACTATATATCAAAATTAACCAGACACGCCATAATATAAGTACTTGAAATTTTGATATTGACTAACAGATAAGTATTAGGTTTCATATGAAAGCAAGAGAAGTTTTGTAAAGGACCTTTGTCCGAGATTTTCTTAATCATAACAAATAATTTATTGAGACAACACCAATAACATTATTTCAAATTTGGAGGAAAGTACTG